GGAATGCTACCGACCAGAGCACATCGAACGAAATACGAACCACTCGACCCACTGTGTACGAAATGCGGGAGAGAGGTAGAAACAATCCCTCACATCATCATGAAATGTGAACCATATCACTCTGAGACGAATGAGCTCCCCAGAATGCTGGGCTTGGAGGGGGAGGGTGACGATGGGACATGTGAGGAGACGAAGAGAACGCTCGAGGAATGGGAAAACGAGGCCCGAAGGATCCGCTAGAGAATACTCGCCCCTGGACTAGGGTCGCCCGTTGATGTGGCTCTTGGCTACACGAGGGCGAGGATCACTACCATACCATACCATACCATACCATACCATACCATACCATACCATACCATACCATACCATACCATACCATACCATACCATACCATACCATACCATACCATACCATACCATACCATACCATACCATACCATACCATACCATACCATACCATACCATACCATACCATACCATACCATACCATACCATACCATACCATACCATACCATACCATACCATACCATACCATACCATACCATACCATACCATACCATACCATACCATACCATACCATACCATACCATACCATACCATACCATACCATACCATACCATACCATACCATACCATACCATACCATACCATACCATACCATACCATATCTTGCAGCGAAAATCGTCCTAAAGTCGGAGGACTTCTCCATGTTTGAAGTTACACACATAAGCTACGCGGTCCAACTCGGCGGCAGCAAAGTAGATTTTGAGAACATCATCAACCCACAGCTTGCACCCACCATCAACAAGATTCTCAGCGGGAGTCTGCCCCTTATCGTGAGCGAAATAATTGAGGATAATATTTTCGAGATATTCCCGCCCGATCTGCCGGTCTCATCTCAGTCGACCATGCATGCGTTGTACTCTCTGACGTTTTTCTCAACCCTCCCCCTATTCTTCAGACCGACCAGGTTCTGCCGAAAGTTAACGGCAGGTTGACTCCGCTCCTAATCAAGCTGTTGAACAAAGAACTCACCAAGGTGAAAATCACCGATCTCATTGATAAGATCAATAAGAAGTGAGCACAAGCTCCGATGAGGAGAACACCAAGCGTCAAGATCAGAAAGCTGGCTTGAATTCCGGTACCATTCGAAGAATTCGGAGCCACGTCCAGGATCGAGATAGAGGGATGGAGGAATCTTCAATATTTCTATCGATATGTGTAATGGACAACATATCCCGTCTTTTTGGATCACATATAAAGATTAATGTCGCTCCGACACCCAATCAAGAAAGTCTGACCCTCGAGCTGCTATGTCAAGCTCGCAATCGATTCGTGGAGTTCATCTGTGAGCAGAGCGACCTATCCGTCGGGGCCCGATTTCTTTGAATGATGCGAGCATCGAAAAGCCTCAGAATGAAAGCCTGACATCTATCCGATCTCGATGAGACTGGCTGCATACCCCAAGGCATCGCTCAGAGGGCCACCTGTCGGCTGACGATCACCATGTTCCAGCGCCCTCTACTGGATCGTTGCTAAGCTCAGGGAAGCAGAGGGCGCTACGACTACATGAACAAATAGCAGGACCGCGACTTAGGCTCGGAAGGCCCATCACTCCAATGCGAGCTCCAGTCGAACAGCATAAGGCTGCGTTCGTCGAAGAGCTCATCGTGCGAGCTGACGAGAGCCGGTTTTCCCGTGTGTTTGAATACATTCAGTGTATTGCCCCGACGGAGTGAGTGCAGTGTCGAGTGAAGTGAGCCGCGGGACATGTTGTGTTGGAACGCTTGACTAGAGCACACCCAGGTTTAAGGAATCTTAAGGTAAACATCCCGTCGGGCCTGACCGACCAGCAATCGGCTGAGCATCAGCTGCTAGGGAGAGCAATGTTGACAAAGCTCCGACCAGGTCTCCGGATTCGGACGCTGCAGCCGGAGCTCCTGAAAAAACGAGGAATCGACCTTTGCGAGTCAGCGGACCGTGATGGGGGGAAACTTCACAGGAGGAGTATTCGTCGTCGTGCCTTCCGATCCGACGGATTGGACGAGTCCCGGCGCTCCGAGCACGACAGCAAGGAGTGTTCATCCGTTTCTCGAGGCTTGGAAATGAGCCGCGTGTTCGATAGGAAAGAAAGCGAGTCTCTTGTGATGTCTTCGTGAGGAATGAGTTCGACGAAATTTAATCAAACGAGTGCGGATGGATTCATACGCTGAACGTTCCTTGTTTCGACGATCCGGGATAAAAATCGGACGTCATTGGACCACGTTTCCCACGGAAGCTATTTTTCCCGCCGTTTCCTTGATGGACGAGTGCGCGGAACGAATTCTGCAGTTTGAGACGTGGATTAGCCCGAGTCGTCGATCGCGGGAAGTGCGAAGTTCCCGGAACGTTCGCCTCCCTCGCCCGCCCCCTGAGGTGAACACTTAGCCCCTCTCCCCATCTCTTCACATACCCTACCTAGAGGACCAGTCCGGCTGGTCACCATCGAACTTTCTCTTCTGCTAGACGCGAATCGAAACTCTTGTGTGGGGGACAGAGGACCGAATTGAGCCCCTAGGTGGGAATACTGACACAACACAATGTCGGCCGCACTGACCAACGGCAGAGGTCACGAGGGATGTAATCACACATCCTCTCCAGAGAGTCAATGAGCCGCATGTGGATTATTGTTTTGGGAACATTCAAGTATCTCCGGAAGCGCAAGTCCATCCGGAATTTTCGTTCGGACGATGCCGCGCCGACGCCGACGGGGCGGGATATTTTCCCGACTCGGAACGGCGCGCGAAACGAGGAAGCCAAACTCGAGCCGATGTTTTTCCAAGCTCGCCGAGGTTCAGGGAGTTTCGTGTAAAGGAGAGATTTTCGACAGAGAAGAGCTCGAAGCTTCCCTGTTAGCTAATTTGCGATTCACCGCCATCATCGACCTGACGGAGATAGACAATCTCAGCTCGGCGGGAATCATGTGGTTCGTTTCATCCTCATCAAGTTCTGCCTTTTCCTTCCTCTTATCTCCCAGCTCCTTCCTCTCAATTAGTCGTCTCCTTTTTTTTATTCCTTATTTCCTCCATCCCGTGATGAAAGCCTGATCTAACACTGTGGTTCCGACCGGATAAGCCATTGCGCCCGTCGGCGTCGCGTCCGAGTCGGATCAGACGAACCTCGTCCGAGTCGGACGAAAGATGAACGACAATTTGATCTGTTGCTTGCCTCGCGGCTCCTACGTCGATCCCGCCAATGGGCCGGAGTCGTCATTGTCTGATTTGCATCGGCGAGCGTCCCATCGGAGCGGACTCTCGAGTTGGTGACTCGGCGAACACGAAGCCTGCTTATGGGTGCCGTATTTGTGGCTTCCAGACAGCGTTGACTGAGACGGCTAAGCGGGCGAATCTCGTTACGAAGGCGATGGCGGTGTCGTATTGCGGGCCTTTCATTTCTCCTCGAGATGGCCCTGCCCCATTACTGTTCTTCACTGGAGCTCCTGGTGAGCCTCTGCATGGAGCCGCGACTCCCGTATCTCGATGAGGGACTGATGACCGCTGCCCAGCGGCCACGGGAACTCAATCGGCGATTGAGCCCCTCCTTTAGAGTGAATGGAAGCTCAGCGAGGCATGGCTTGTGATACGGATAAGCCCAGATGGTAAGAAGCAGCTGACTGTTTCGCAGGGCTTAGGACTACGGGAATGTGTTGATTCTAAAAGCTCCACAAGGGGCTCCCTCGGCTGAGAATTTTTCAGAGATGTGAAGTTTCCTCCTCCGCTCCCGACCCCGATCGAGTTGTACCATCGCATCGGGGTCAGTTGCGGTCGTCCGCAAACGATACACTTTCCAGTTTTCCCCTATCCACAAAGTTTACCGTGAAGGAGGCGTTTTCTGAGTACGATTTCACAGACAAGAAGCCACTGCGACCCGGCTCCCTCCTTATCCCGATCAAATACTGTCGACCCCGATCGGAACAGAAGAGGCGATTCCTCCCAACAAGCGGCTTGTGTCTGATTCGGCTCGCGATCCGCAGCTCTTGCTACCCAGCTGTTTAATCGCATGGGGTCAGACGAAAAAAAGAACAACGAATTCTGCGGAGGAAGAATGGTCCATTTGCGGAAGCTTACAGCACCTTAGGGTACTGGTGGGTTGACTTTATGGGCAGGAGACACTCCGTTCCCAAGCGTTGTAAACTGCTCTCAAGCCATGCAAACTGAGATCATGGATGTTTCGCAGATGTTCACAATACAAGGATGCACGCGGAAAAACCCACGTTTCTGCAAAGATAATGCTCGGCAACCTTGGGAAAAGCGTCCGGAATGGGATTCAGTTTTGTGATACGATGTTGTTGGGAGCTGCAGTTAAAATCTCGTCCGTCGGATGCACGGCGGCGGGACCTGCGGTTTTTGTTTTGCCTCCGCAATATCTCCCTGTTCCGAAATTTCATCTTTCCAGAGGCGAATTTCCAAGAAAAAGAGTTCCTTCCATCGGCACTCTTGTTTGTAGAGAAAGAGCTGTTCCTGATCCAGGGCATGACCGAATTTGCTCCCATGATTGAAGTCAGAAACCGTTGGATGAAACTACGGATTCAGACGGCCGGACCTACCCGAGTTCCGGCACGTTTCCCTAAAATTCCTCGAAATCATTGCAATTCTTCATCTGCTCCCGAGCAAGATCGACCTTTCCCTCATCGAGAGACTGTGTGAAAGGCGGCTCTGTTTTTATTTCCACAACGACTTTCGGACCATGATTTTTCTGCCGTTGGACGTTCGAAAATGTCGGTTGAGCCGCCAAAGCGAAACCTGCCTAATGGAAATTTAATTGTAGACCTCCGAAGTGCATCGATAAGCTAAGCTATAATAACAAGGAATTCCACTGCTTCGTTTAATCCTCACTCCGGCCAGCGCTGTTTGTCTTCTCGCTACCGATCTTCTCTACCCCTTTTGCGAGCTCACTCTGTCCATCCTTCTGTCCTTTTCTTTCTATCTCGGGGCTCATTCTATTCATTCATTCATCCAGGCTTTTACCGCTACAAGCGAACCAATGCCTATGGGCATCTCATCGACCACGTCTTATCTGTTCTTCCGGTGGAGTGCATGCTTCTCCCCCAAGCTGTTCTACCCTCTCCCCGGTCCCCCAATCGTTGTTGGTCGACTAGCTCGCTGGCTTGCTTGTCTCTATCTTGAAGATCCATTTATCTTCGATCAGATGGAAGCAAACGTTGGGGCTGGGATTTTGATGAGTAGTCTTGGGACCGTTCCTATTTTTCCCGTCTTTCTATGGGACTCTGTAAGTCTATCTCATTCAACTGTTGACCACTCAGAAGATGTCTCCCGTGCTCACAATCGAAGCTTTTACGCTCATCAAATACAGCGGCAGAGTTCCGACGGGATCGCTTCGATTCTTATACGATTTAGCGACGCAGGACACGGTACCTCTTGAGATCAGAATTTCCCTCCTCATCGACTCCATCGACTCGGCGGTGACCGACGCTGCGCGGAAGGAAAGTTGGATAGGATCAAATTCGGGGCCGGCACCATAGAGGCTTGGGGAGTTTCATGAACTCGCTCTGACCTGTTCCGGGGAGGTGTTCGCCTCCCCACATGAATATTCAGATATCGACTATCTACAGCTATAAAGTTTCCTCTGTGCTCCGTGGCTCCAGCGGCTCGTCGTCCTGTCAGGGATCTCCTGACTCGAGCGGATTCAATATACATATTCCTGGAAATTCCGAACTGTGGATGAATCGAGGAGATTCTTTAAAAGAATACCGACCGAAGTACCATTAGTGAAGCAGCCGATTTCTGCGTCTATTGGTGCTCAGTTTTCCTCCGCAGGGGCCGGGAGGGGATTGCTGGTTCCCTGGGGGAAAACACCGCGCAACCCGCGCACGAGTCCATAAATTGCTCTCCGATAAAACGGAATCAGATCGATGCTCTGTCTAGCCTTTTGCTCAAAATCCTACCCTGAGAAGTGGAGCCAAGCTCAAGAGTTCCCGGGAAATAGAGGCGGCTCATCGAGTGGGAAAAATTCAATCGACCGAGGGAAGGCTTGTCCGGTGATCGAGGAAGGACTGATGAGGGATGCTCAGGTTACTCAGCCGGAGGACGAACCCTTGTCTGAAAGTGAGCACATTGAACGACAAATTCCTCAAATGATAAATTCGTCGTTTCGCGATTGGGAGGGAGCATCTTACAGACCTCCGAGTTTCCGGTCTATTCGCACGCGTGCGTCCCAGCTCGGGCGTTCTTTCCGCGTACGAACAATTTTCCTACAGAAGTCCTCACAGGAGAACCCCAGGAGTATGATACTCGAACACGACGCTCAACGGAGCGAGAGCTTAGCAGGACGCGGAAGCAAAATCACGCAGAATTTGACAGAGCGGAGTGGAGGCTTTCACGCAGCCCCATCTGTGACTCTTTTCCTACTTCCGGCAGCCTATATGTCGGCAGGGAACAGGGTCCATATTTGTGGGCCGGTTCGAACGCCACAATCGACGGATAAGATCTCCGGAGATCGTCCTCGGTCGTTCTACGCACAGATCCGCATGATTCCGTAACCGAAAAAAGCAAAGGAACTGCGGTCTGCGAGATCAATCCTGCCCTCCGGACAACTGCTGCTATTTTGAAAGGAGGGAAACTCGAAATTGAAAATATTGGAATGAGTATCGTCGACCCGGGAGAGACCGCTGGATGTCTTCGCACTTATATTCGATTTTCTCACTCTGGGAAGGAACATCTGAAAGTAGCGAGAAGTTCACGTCGTTCCACTGAGCGTCCTCGTCCAAGCCGCTGGAACGGATTGCGGGCGGGTTCGTGGCTCCCGCTGTGTTGTTGCCGCTGCTCCAAGGCGGAAATTGATTGATCGGAATTCCTTCGGGAACGATTATTATCCATGGGGTTCATGGGGCGTTCTGGAAGTCAATGCATTGGGCCTGTATAGATGCCCTTATTTCATTCATGCTTGTCGGGGACTTGAACCGCTTGCTCTTCGACCTCGCGTCTTGCTCGTCCTCCAGACCATCGAGGAAGACGGCACGTCGCGAATCTTGCGGAGATTGCGGTGATTCGATCACATCGAGAATTTTCTGAATGTTCCTCCATTTTTCGTTTTCAATTAGAAACCTGAGAGGATTCCCCTAATCTGGGATGGAACCTGACTCCTCTACTGCTTCGTTCCCAATCTCGGAGAGATTAAACAAGAAGAAAGCCCGAAACCCTCCAAGCCGAGTCTCGACCTCACGACCATGCTCTCGCAGACTCCATGAGCTCGGAGTAAGGCATTGTGTGCTTGAGGAACGTGCGCTATTACGCACTTGGGCATATGATGTCACCGGTACCAAGACGGCTGTGCCTTGAATTCTCAGGAGTCATTCCAATAGTCCAGATCACGGGCTTACTGAGCTTGAAGCGACGGCCTTGAACTCAGCATTGGAAATCCCGATTGTATTCATGCACGTGCAAAAAGTAGGTCGGATATTACAATGGAATGCGCCCTCGAACTTGCCCCCACCTCTGCGGGAAGAAATTCCTTTTGCGTTTGGTCCGGAACTCACTCAGGAATTCGATTGATTTCCTCCAGAGCTGAGTGTCAGGCTGCAGTGGAACGCAAGGCTTTGGCGGAGCACTCGACAACTCATTTCCATGACTTTCCTCGTCCTCGTCCCGGTCAGACATGTCTGCGATGCCTGCTGATGTGGTGAAAATTCAGAATCTGAGTTATGGAGAGTTTCGAAGCGCAGAGCCTCGATTTCAAGCCGGTTTCGGTCAGAAAATATGCAGGGCACGATGCTTCTGTGCGCGGCATCCCTGCAAGGCATCGTGATGCCTTTATCGGGAGTCGCTGTGCCGGGCAAGCGGATGAGTTGACAACAAATATCGTGCGACAAGTTTGCCTGATTGAGAGCGAGCTCCTGAGACTTTTGTGGATGACATTCTATTCTCCTGCATGCAGGAAGTCTTCTCTTCGCCCTCTGGGACCGAAGATATATTGCGAGGCGTGCTTATTCTGCAGGTTGACGGATCGTGTATGTAGGTACACTGATTGTGAAAGGGGTGAATCGGGTGAGAGTGAGCTGGGGGTCGCCCGAGAATCCCTCGCGTCAATGATGATTCCCCTTTACACGCTCCCGTTACCGATTCCGCTATTGCGGGTGAAAAGTATCTCGCTCGTACCGTTGAGTCCTGGAACTTCGGCCGAAAATCGACTCGGAACTCGGCGATTTCCCGCGATCTGACAGGGGCTCCGGATTCGCCCTCTAAATCCTCTTCTCTTCAGGGCGACGAGCCGCAATTCCGGCGAAATTTTCTACGCGAGAAAGTTGAAGTTATGGCTACCGAGGAAAAACTTTGAGTGAATTCCCTGATTCGGAAGAGACCGATCTTTTCTCCTGAGAGCGTCTGCCGGCTGCGCCGGGCCCTGTTGATTATTCTCTCGAATATTCTCATGCAGTCGGCGGCGGCCTACCGAACCGAAAACCGGGAGAAGCGGAAATAATTGCGTCGATCCGTCTTACAGAGAAGCACTCAGTGAGGTTGACGGACTAAGGTGTGCCAAAGTCTTGGTAGCCAGATTGACCGCATCCCTTGCATAACATCCAGCTGTAGAGCAGGCGACTGTCATTCCTCGCGAATCGGAGCCTCTGCACGCTCCCCCGATGAGAATCCGCATCCTTATTTTTAAGAACTCGACGCTTAGAGATATCAATCTGCTTGGTGAGAGAGCCGGCGTCGCGTCGATCGTCTCCATCAGATCCGAACAACCTTGTGGGGCACCAACGAGGTCGAAGGAGGAAAAAAGCCTACGCATTAATTTTTCGAGCTCTGATCCGAAGCTCACGGTCCCGAGGGCAGATACGAGCGACGCCATCTAGTTCCGACTCGACTGTTCGCATTGTGTCTTGCAGTTTTAGTGGGCATACCCAGAAATTGCGACGTCCGTGTAGTTAGTCGAATGTCAGGTCTCAAGGAGTGGAAAACAAGCAGACATCCAACCTATAGTTAGGCCAGAACGGATCGTGGAGAGTTCAAAGTATTCTAAACATTCCCTTTTCCTTTACAGATGCCCTCCGTCTGGTGAAAGGGATGACGTGGTTGTTTTTGTGGACGGCGCTTGCCGTTTCCTGGGCGCTCGATCCGAAAGCTCCAAACGTCTGCATAAAACATGAGAGGTCAGTTCAAGTCAAGTCCAACGTTTTAGGTACCTTGAAAAACAGATTACTCGCGGACCGCTTGGCAGTTTGCCACATGAGTTTTTCCGCGCAGAAAGAGCCGACACTGAAGAGCCTATTAGACACCGCATTCATGGAACCTTGGAGGGATTGCTCCAGACTGAAGCTCTCGAACAACCTGTCTCCCTCACGACTAATTCGACGTGTCGCTTCGGTCTCCCCTCGATGGGGTACTGGTTGTTCCGCTTAGCGAGCAAAGAGAATATCCCCGGAAATATACATAGATATCCTCTACAGAGATCTCCTTCCTGCGTGCCCTCAAGCGGAGGGGTAGTCGGTCGTCGGCTTTGTGAAAAACGATTCATTGTTCTAGGAGACTATTCCACCAGATAATCCCGGCAAAATTTTTTGTTCGAGCTCCCCAAACATTCCACCGGGCCCTCGACGAACCTAGGTCGGCTCGATCGCCGAGAGACTCAGGATTGAACGGAAACCAGACTTGACTATTTGGGAGAGCATGGCAACATTTGTGGAATGTCATCGTGAAATTTCACTGGCGAAAGACGGAGCGCCCGAATAGGCGTAAGGAAGACCGATCGCTGGCTGCCCTTTGAATTTCTCGCTTCTCGTCTTCACTTTGAAACTTCTTGACAGGTCATTCGATCTCGCGCCGGTAAGGTTCGTTGACCGAGGTGATCAATGTGCTCCAATGCTCCGTCGTACTCGAAGCTTAGAGCCTGAGTTTGGACCATCGCGCGTCGGGGTAGCGATGGTCAGGAATTCGAAACTCGCTCAACGCCGCCGCGTTGAAATTTCGTGGCTCGTTTCGAGATCTCCCGTCGACGTTTTAAGTGGAGTCCCGGAAGCCTCGCCGTCTGTACATAGAACCCTCAACAACTCCACTGTCAGAGCGAAAGGGTCGAGTTCGACCATCACGAGACAAGGCAGACCTCGGGTCGAGAGTCATAAAAAGCAATGGGAAGCTAAAAACGCGCAAGTTCTTGAGGAAATAACAGCTTCCGGTGACCCTTGGCTTGGTACTCTTTCTTCTCTGCGGTCTTCCCCTGATGGATTGTTCCATCCGAGGCTTCTGAATACGTTTCTTCAGGCGAGTTGGCTCCAAAATCAGAGCTCGAGTTCACGTTCACATCAGGCGCATCCGGGGAGCCTTTTAATCGAACGCGCTACTGGTCTGATCCGCGATCTAAGGGAAATAAAGACCATCGGGAGCTCCGCCGATGTCGATTATCCTCTCATAGATGTTATTTGCGAGTTGTGATAGCAAATCTTAGCCCCCGATTCTCCTGCTCGAACAGATATCTGGCCAACGAAACGGTTGCATTTCCGAAACCATTCCAAGTCCGGACGTATACGTGGTGCTTCGCAGTACCGCCGAGATGCTCCAAATTTCGAACTGACTACACTACAGCCTACAAGCAGGTTAGTTCTAGTGAGGAAGAGATGAGTTTCCGAATGCGGAGACCGGGGCAATAAAAACTATTTTGCTCCTACTTGTTTGAAAGATTTAGTGTTCGAATTTCCGGGGATTAATTGGAGAGTTCGCCATCACGAGCGTGTTTTGCCTTATATAGACTTGATCAATTCGCAGGTGCAGAAAGAGCGGACCCGCATCGTTCCAACGTGCTGCAAGGGTTACGTCGAGAGCACCTATGGAGATCGCTGCATCCGTAAGTATATTCGAAAACGAACTATTCAAGGCATGAGAAGCGGCTTCGAACTTGAATAATTCACTGATCTCTTCATCGACTCGTTTTCGGGATCCCCGAAGGAGCTCTGTTCTGTACAATGATCGAGATCTTGTCGAACTGATTGCATTGAGTTTTCTTCTTTATTCACCCTTGGGCATAGCAAATCCGAAATTTCGGTCCCCAGTGCTGGGAACCTACGGCGATATTCCGTCTACACCTCACGGCTCCGATGCGTTGTACGGTCACGTGTCCCAAGTGTCATGAGCGGTCCCCGCGAGGCGCTCTTGGCACCTTAGCGAGTGATGCTGGGAACGGACGCTCGTCGTTACCCCACCGTTCCTATGTGCATAGGTGTCGTACCTCGCAAAACTGGTCACTTCACTCGCTGCTCCCGTGAGGAACAGTTCCGGGAGATTACCTCCGTGAGGCATTAATGAGAAGCGGAGGTCGATCAACATGGGCTTACGCGTACAAGCGAGGTCCCGGAGCATCACCACTCGAAGACCCCATCACAGGTTTTCGCGGAAACAGCAAAGATATACTTCACTAGCAATGATAGGAAGGGATCTGGCAGACGAATGGCGATCCGAGAAATCATCGCAATAAGAAAGGTCATTCCGACCTCCCGAAGGGTCGTCGAGTATGCAAATGTACTTGATTGGCTCGATGTCGACAATCGAGTGGAGGCGGCGCGGCGGCGCGCGTGAATCCCCCCGTTTTTCTGAAGTTTCCGTGGCTGCGAGAAAGTTCGGGGTACGGTTTCAGCGGGCGCGTCGTCGATTGCGATTCTACGACGCGCAAGCCTCGACAGCTGGCGGCCTTATCGCAGCAATCGAATTAACCTCAGAGAAGGGGACAACAGTCGCTCGCTCGATGTATGCTCAATGTGTTCCATTGGCTCGTTTTCAGCGCTCTGCAGCAACCCGTGCCTCCACGGCACCTGCTCTGGTCCGGAATCGTGCAACTGTCTTCCGGGCTACGGCGGCCCCACCTGCAATTTCCGTATGTAACACCGCCTTCCGTTTGGCTTCTCTTCAAAAGCTTTCCGCGCGTTGATGTGTTCTAACTTTCATTCGTTCTCCACTTCTATTTCTCGACACCTGCGAACCGACGTTCACGTCCCCGTTCTGTCGGAATCCGTGCGAATCTCCCGCATCTGATCGCGATTCGGAACTTCAGTTCTACACAGTAAGTACGCGGAGCGCAGCACAGCTGATCAGACCGGTCACTCGCTGGTTCCTATATCCTTCTTTTCCGATCACCGAGCTCAACTTTTTTCCCGTAACAGCGTGCCCGCCTGGAATGTGGGGCTCGGACTGTGATAGACCGTGTCCGTGTAAGAATGGCGCGCGGTGCGATCCACTGACGGGTGCATGTGCGTGCAAACCCGGCTGGCAAGGCGATCACTGTGATCAGAAGTGTAACGACGGCACTTACGGGTGAGTCCGATCTCTCGTCGAGACGTAATACTGATCCGAAAACTGGCTGAATAAGAAGGTTGGATGCTCGCTAGCTCAGGACATCGAACATCGAATTATTCGAGAGGTGCTCCGGTAATTCGATTTAGCGGAGATCGCAACAATAATTTGGAGGCTGACAGCTACCGTCAATGTGACAGATGGAGTCTGGTCGGAGGTTTTTCTGCAACACGTTTTTTGTTCCGTTTCCTCGCAGGTACGAGTGTGGCCAGAAGTGCCGCTGCCGGAACGGTGGCCTTTGCGATCATATCTCTGGAGCTTGCACCTGCGCACCTGGCTTCCGCGGACCGCTGTGCCAAGAAACCTGTCCACCGGGTGAGGAATTTATTTCCCAGAATCCGACTTGTGCGACTTTGCGCCATCGATCGGAAACGAGACTCGAGATGGAACGGCCGAGCTTTTCATGCCCCGCGACAGCACAAACAAATCTGGCGCGCTTCTTTGTTCGTTTACGATTCCGGAAGTTGAGCGACTACCGTCTGTCAGACCTGCCGAGAAGTCGAAAATCTCGTCTCCGATCGACTCGATCCCCGGAATCAGCCTTTCAGTTCGCTTAACATCTAATGACGAGCGTCCCGTCGCGACTTCTTAGGAATTATTATGAGAGAGGAATCTCAAATTCTCGATGATGAACTCATCATCTAGTTCTCCGAGTTTTTTTTCGCTGTTTCTGTCATCACTCATGACCATAATCTCGAGGCAGGCGAATCCATACATAACCGCATTTCTGGCCGGAACAAGACAGGAAGGGTGGAACTATCACCGTGGTGGTCGATGATATTCATTCCTTTGTCGAATCGGTTTTCAAATTGGATCCTTTCGAACCGTAGGAACGCACGGCGACGGTTGCACTAGCCGCTGTCAGTGCCAGAATGGAGGATCGTGCAACCCGATTAACGGGAAATGTCTTTGTCCCGACGGCTGGACTGGAGATGTTTGCGCCGTACCTTGTCCTTCGGGTAAGTGGGGGGCGGAACCAGGAGCAATGCATACCAGTTTTTTGCTGTAGTTGCCGATCTACAACTACCACTTCCTGCTGGTGGCCCTCCGCTGCCAGTGGTCGAAGTCCATTAATGATATACAGGAGCCTACTGCTCGATTTCTCGCGTATGTATTGCCCTGTCGGAAGGGAGATCTAACATATGCGATTGTAGCTTATTGCGAGGAACATATGGGACTGACACGAGATTTAATCCAGGTTTCTTCGGGCCCGACTGCAGCCAGAGATGTCAGTGCTACAACGAGGCTCTCTGCGATCACGTTTCGGGCACATGCCTCTGCCCGCCAGGTGAGCAGGCTCTCGAAACTCGAACAGCTCCGAGATCACGGTTTCTGGCTGCTCCTCTTCTCTCGGTGTTCTGACTCTGGCACTTCCTGACTTACAGGTTACATTGGCTCCCGATGCCAGGATGAATGTTCTCCCGGGACCTATGGCCTCAATTGTTCGAAGACCTGCGATTGTTTGAATGGTGAGACTTCGAGGGATTTTTATAGATCCCTTGTGTGAGGATGCTGACCGGAACCTTCAGGTTCGCCGATCTGGATGACTGGATGATGAATGGACGATGCCCCGGATAGAAAAAGTGGTTTGCCGATTCGGTAAAGAGGAAGCCCTCGAAGACTCGCTCCAGCCCATGAAGTACACCAACACGAATTCGTATACATGAAAAGTCACATCGAGCAACAAACTCTGGGATTACGGACGGGAAACGTGGGACAGAGGACGAGGTTGGGAATAACTAAGAAAAAATGCAAATTCTTCCTCACAGGAGCATCTTGTGACGTCAGCAACGGTCATTGTGTGTGTCCGCCCGGTTTCGTCGGTCCTCGCTGCGAAACTCGTAAATGCGTCGACGGCCTGTACGGGAAGAACTGCGATATGGTTTGTCAATGCCATCCGAAGAACACCAAGCTGTGAGTCGCTCGCTGCCGTTCCGAACTATTTAGTTAATATTCTCTTTGAGTTCCCTCCGGCCGACCCAGACCGCCAAGGCGGCTGGGCATGCTCGGACCGGAAATCGTGCAACATTTATTTTCGTCCGACAGTCGTAAAACGAAACAGTGTGGTCAGTTGGTGGGGCCGAGCAAGCAGTCATGTATCCATGTTTCAGATGCCATCCTTGGCGTGGCTCATGTGAGTGCAAAGCTGGCTGGCACGGAGAGCTGTGCGAGAGATCGTGTCCGGCCTTAGCGTACGGAGAAAGCTGTTCCCAACAGTGCGATTGCGCTAATGGCGCTGAGTGTGATCCGGTCGACGGCGGTTGCCTCTGCGAGCCGGGGTTCTACGGGTCCGAGTAAGTCAGGGAAAAAACGCGATTTTTCTCCTCTTAATTCACCGATAGTCGCCACAAAGGGGACAACGCCAGAGGTGCACAAACAATAGCCTGGGGATTGACCGTGCTGATAACGCCTGACATTTAACGCCGAAAGCTGGGACCGATCCTGACTTCCTCCTCCGCTCCTCTGGTTCCGTGCCGACGATGAGCTCAAAGGGGTCTTGTCAAATCGTCTATCGGCAATTGAACTCAATCAGAGGCGTCTTGAGTCTCGACAAACATAGTGTTAATTAAGGAAAACTACATATAAGCGGAGATCAATGGGGGGTTGGCCCCGAGAAATTTTCTCGACGTGAAATTCCGAGCTCCCGGCGAGCTTACCTTTTGGCTTCCTCGGCTGAACGCCTCTCACGACGAGAGCGGGGTTTTGGCTCCTCGGATCGCTTGCCGGCTATTCAGCGGAATCGAACGAAATTTTTCAGTTGCTCATTAAGATGCCCAAGCGGGACCTACGGACGATCGTGCGGCGAAAACTGTATCTGCGATAACAACGCGACCTGCTCCCACATAACGGGGCAGTGCAGCTGTCCATCAGGTGAGATGATTAGTTCTATCAGCGTCGGTTGTGCGGAACTCGATCCGGTGTTTATCCTTTCATCGTCGTGCAGCTTCTCCATAGCATCGAGGGCATAAGAACTGTTCCATGATCATCGTAGACAAAGAGAAATCTCGACGTCTACCCGCTTTGTTCGCGCCGCTCCGAGCGGGGAACATCTCTGTAGAAGCGGCGCAACCTTATTTGACAGCTTGCAACGTTCTCATCGTCTGTGGTTTTAGGCTACTTCACATCGCGTTGCAATCGAGTCTGCCCACAAGGCTTTTACGGATCAGGGTGTACAGCCAGATGTCAGTGCACAAACGGCGGAGACTGCGACGCCAAAACAGGGCAATGCCAATGCAGGGCCGGATTTTACGGGGAACTATGCGAGAAACGCTGTGAGGTGAGTGAAGGGAGAAGTGACACCCAGCGGCCGGCCATTCATCTGCGAGAATCGCATCAAGTCTCACTGAATTGAGGGCCGTTCCTTGCAAGTGCTAGGTGTCGCTGCGCGGAATTCGTGAAGTACCTAGAGAAAGAATTCCGCTCACAGGCGTAACGGTCAATTTTCAGCCGGGATACTTCGGTATTGGTTGTGCGCACAAGTGTGACTGCGAAGAGAACAACTCCTTGGGGTGCGATCCCGTCGACGGTGAGTGGATTGTCGTCGAAAATCGTAGAGGACTCTCAAGGAATAGCTTTCAGGTCCGCACCTCGGCGTGCTCAAACATCTTCGAACATTCCAGGCGAGTGTCGATGTCTGTCGGGCTTCAGCGGCTGGCGCTGCGACTCGGAATGCGCGCCTGCGTCGCTTTTCTGGGGCACCGACTGCTCAAATGTGTGCACATGCGCGAATAACGGCACCTGTAACCAGTACAGCGCCGACTGCAGCTGTCCCACGGGGTACCACGGCAACAAATGCAAGAAGAGTGAGTGATATTCCGACTTACCCGTATGAAAAATGAACTTCAGTTACAAGCGAGGGAAGCCGGACAGGATAATGCGTCTCGTGCCTTCCGACTTCAATCTGATCAGAAACATATGTTTTCAATATATAACAAATGATTAGGCGAGACTCGGCTCCCCTACACATGAGACATCGCAGAGGCTCTGCTCATGCTACCAGAATACATTCCTCGTTTCGAGTAGGCACCGAATGTTTTCGAAACACATCGCATGTTTCCGCACCGAGTCTGAACGCCGCAAGCATCCCGAACAACAGCAGTACCTCTGCGCGACGCTCACGAGGCCTCCTTGTCTTCTTTCCCGAATGTTCTCATCGCTCCGGAGTTCCCTGTCAAAGCTCATGGAGCTCCTCTCCTAGATCCGGCTGCGGATCCTCCCGAGTGAATGGCAGTGTTCCCTTCTCGCATTGTTCTGAAGAAATGGTGATATCTCATCGACACGGGATGCGCGCATCAACCACTTGATTAGGCTCTCTCCGATCAGAAATGCAATAATTGGGTCTATCAAACGCCTCAAACTTCTCACTCACGGATTACAAATGCCCCCGGAGAACGACTTCGGCTGCTCTCGGGGAATCTACTCCAATTTGTAGTAGGACTCTCCGCAAATTTGCTGGCCATGGACTCTGCGTCCTCGAGTGTAGTTTGTAGCTGAGGACTGGCTCGGTACTTCCACCAGCAGTCCACTAGCGTTCTGCGGTTCCACTCTTTCCCGGAAACTTTCGTCAGGCTTCGGATGATTCCGATTTCGGTCGGGGACGTTCCGTGGTAGCGGAGGCGAATCCAGCTCCTCTCGCTGTACCATTGTGTCAACACGAGAGTCTCCAAAGCTCTTCCTCGATAGAACGTCACATCGGAAAGAGGGAACGCGGGGAGAAGAAGCACGTCTACTATCGAAATACCATCCACGTACGACACAAACACAATGGGTACAATAATCGCTTTGTCCACAGAAACCGATATCAGTATTAGGAGAGAGATCGCGAAACTGAGAGCCGCGGCTATGAAAAAGTTATCCTTCGCAGCGCTCGCGTGTTTTTAGAACGATGAAAAAGTTTACCGTGAGACTCTCATGGAGCGAGCAGCGATGTCCGCAGTCAGCCGCTATTCTATGCACACAAAATTCGTCCTTGACGTCAGAAGCCCAATTCTGCTGAGGTTTAATGATATGCAAGTCATGTGGCCACAAGAGTTTGATGTTGTTTTGGCCCTATAGATCAAGAGGACGAACAGGGAGAAGAATGGGCCCACGACGCGAGCCCCGCGCTCCAAGGAGCACAAGCGAGAAAGATCATGATAATATTTTCCTCGAGACCTTTTAAAGAACGGATCCCGCCGTCCAGCGGAACAACAATAAGCTCCATCCGACAGACACGGAGCGAATGCACAACGCGTGACAGAGGCGACGTGGTGCGGATCCATGGAACTCAATATCTCAGACGAGAGAATTTGTTTTCAGAATGTTCGCCGGGTTTCTTTGGCGTGGGATGCAAGCAGAAGTGTCCGAAATGTGACAACGCCCTCGGACCGTGCGATTCTGTCAGCGGCCTCTGCAGCTGCCGACCTGGGTGGACTGGTCCCACTTGTTCGAAAGGTGAGGAATGTTCGCTAGTCAAGCAACCTTATGTTCCCAAATGCGAGGTGCTCAAGCTCCATGGGCTCGAGCGCACAGTCAAAGTGTGGAGTGCGACACACGGTCCAAGTAGAACGCGATTTTGGAACGGGGCGAATTTCAGTTGCAATTACGAATTACGACCAACTCCGACCGAGCCACACAGCATGGCGGAGGCCGGAATTTCCCAAAAGCGACCGCGAAACCGATCCGAGATATGTAGATTCGACTTTCGACGGCGGAACAATCGTTTAGAGATGTTCCAGCAGTCGGACGCTAAAACGGCTTCGCTCAGCCGCGGCAAACGGAGCTCGGACGAGGCCAGAGCATCGGATGGGTCTGAGCGCTATTTTTATCGCGGATTTTTCTTATAAATGAGATTGAGCAGCAGACGGACGAGACGGGCGGATCCATGAAGATAGGACAACGCGTCGGGTCGCACTCGGCTTTTGTTCCGGCCATCCGGGAAGCTCCTACGCTGGCACTCTGATGATTCCAGCGCGCTACCAATTATTCGCCGGGCTTCCTCGGTTTATTATGCTGGAGAGAATGAGTTTCTCCTCCGATTTCAATCGACGTATTGACTTCCGTTAACGGCAGAGATCCACTTTCCCGTTTTTACTCTTTCGGAGCGCGGTCAATTAGTGGAAGCGAAAGCGCAATAAAACGCTTTCTTTCAAGAGTCCGAAGAACTTCAGCTCTGTTCCTCCTTCACGCCCATCCATTCTCGCGATGTTCCGAGCGCGGCTCGCCTCGGAGAGTCATGGAATTCCTCGCAGAGGTCAGCCAGAGAAATTAAGTCTTCTTCCGTGTTTCCAGAGTGCCCTCCTGATTTCTGGGGCGCAAACTGTACGGAGCCGTGCGATTGCCAACACGGGGGAGAATGCGATCCCCAGACCGGCGCCTGTTTCTGCCTCCCGGGTTGGAGGGGTCCTCGCTGTAACGAGCCCTGTCCTCAGGGAACCTACGGCTTCAACTGCACCAAGAAGTGAGTTCGCGCCCGAGGTCGGCGTTTGTCGGAATTACGGAGACGCAACAGGGAAGGGAGCGCTATGCGCTTCTTCGGGCTTCATTCAGCAGATGGAGTCGACTGAGGGGGGCGTTTGAATAACATTCCCGAATTTAAACCGCCAGGTGTACGTGTCTTAATGGCGGAACTTGTCGAGCTACCGACGGTGCCTGCATGTGTCCGAACGGCTGGACGGGGAGCCGATGCCAACAGGTCTGCCCCGAAGGTTATTACGGAGAACACTGTTTCCAGGTAAGGCGGCGGGAGCCCATGTGATAACGCTATTCCCCCCTCCCGCCGAAGGCACTCGGACGAACATTCCGCGTCCGGGTGCAGAAACTCGTTAGAAATGATTGTTTCGAGCAGGTTACGAACGGAGGAATTTTCAGGCATGCAAATGCGAGTCCAAGCCCGGAATGTTCTGTGATCCCGTTAAAGGCTGCTCATGCAAAGGAGGATTTTCCGGACGAGAATGCGGCCTGCGAAATGTCGCCGGAAGCGTAATGCTGAGAGATTCCGACGACGGCGATGACCGTCAAGGTATGACCCATCTGCCCTCCCCTCCCCCCGCTCCCGTGCCCTTCAATCCCTCTTCCTGGAGTCTTCGACGGTCTGTCTATTGAGGAGCTCCTCTTCCTGAGCGTTTCTCTCTACGACGAGGCGAACGGTGCTCCCCGTACCCGATCGGGATTCCGCTCATGCGAAGTAGTGGGATATTTTGTGGTCTATTTCCCGAAATTTCAAAATTGGACTCCATTCCACAGGGATGATGGCGGGCGTCCTCTTCTCCACCTTCGTGTGTTGCTTGGTTCTCCTCTGCGTCGCGTTTTATTACCGACGACGAGTGAATCGTCTGAAGTCTGAGTTAGCCTACGTGACGTATACGGCGGAACGTATGACTCCAGACCACCTGGATAATCCCGTTTACGGATATCATACGCCGGGCATGGATCGTGTGCCAGTCAGCAATTTGCAGACGATCATCCCTAATAATATCAAATACGTAAACAATGATCTCTCAGCCAACACTTGCCCAGTCGCGACTCCGGGTCCTTCAGGTGAGAGAGAAAACGTTTATCGCATGACCCGTGGGGGTCGATCGAAGTCCGGCCTCGTGGATCGAAATTCCTCCGAAATTTCGGCTCGAGAATTCTGCATAACGTTTCGCTTTTTTTCCCTCCTCGTAAACTCACTGTTTCCTTGTTATCCACTCAGGGGTGCAAGCGATTTGTACATTAAGTCGAATGAAAAACTCGAATGTCGAGCGTGCCAAGATCGGAGAGGAGTCGTATTATTCGAGTACGATCAAGAAGAAGAACCGAGAAACCGGCACTGGCTCGCGTAGCGGTCCGGAAATCCCGGAGGAAGAGTACGTCGCCAAGAAGAGCAAAGGTGCGTATACATGCGTGACAAGACGCCCTAAGCGGCTCACGTAGTTACAGTGCGTCGGATGTACGTGAGTTACGGTTCTTCCAGAGCTCGACTTTCGGCCAAACATCTACCAGAGCATTGACGACCTCAAGACCCTGACCAAGGAGCCATTCTACTGTGAGGTCAAAAACAAAGAGTTCAAGCAGTCGAACGCGCAAGCTGGCGAGCACTTCCGGGGTAGCACCTCGACGTTACGGAGCACCGATGGTATGTGCTCAGCTCACGGTCCACAAATCGAAGTAGATCGCGGCGAGTTCGGCTTGGGTGCGTAAACGTTCAACAATGGTGACGGAATTCCTCTCGTTCCAGATAACGTCGAATGCTCCGTTGCCAAAGAAGTTTGCTTCAGCATTCTAAAGAAGGCCGGCAGCTCGAGTCAGGACCCGAGCGTGTAAATATTGTTATCGATGTACATAAATTTTGATAGTAACCGAATCGATGGTAGTACCCCGCTACGGACTACGCACTCCTCGGGCGTATGAGCTCCGCTGATGTAAAGGTGATAATCTTCTCCTCGGTCTATCGGAGGGATCACGCGGGACAACTCAGAACTCTACCTCAATGGCTTCCTTGTTTCGAATGATCGGCAGATGGTCGATAGACCGTCAGGCAGGCAGACTGACTGCCTGATTGATTGGATGACTGATTGGTCGAGATGTAAATATATGCAGAAGAAACTCGCGACCCGGAATCGGACGCTTAATGCCTGTCAGAAAATGTGGAATCGTTCGCAAACAACTCATTCGCCCGGATCGCTCATGGTGTGAATGTTTGTAGTTTCTTGAGGCAGGCGGAATCCGGAAGAAAACCTTCAACGAAGCTCGCACGCTCAGATTGCTCAACAGCGATATTCTGACCGACGGAAAGTTCATCATTCATTCGTGAGAGGACGCTGAGAATTCAATGAACCCATCGCAAGCTCGAGAAACGGACCGAACGTGATCCCGTCAAATTGTGATGAAGTTCCCGCTCAAAATTCCAAATTACATCATGATCGCTCTCGAAAACGATTCCTCTCGGCGCCGAACTCCCTGTCGACTGTCCTTTACGGGAGCGGCGTCGTCTCAACGCAGAAAATTAAATTAAACGATTGCAATAAACAGACGGACGTGTGCCGCGCAGACCAGCGTCTCGCGTGGGCGCAGTTATCGCCCCGGATGAAGCGAATACCGAATGATTTGGTGTTGAGGTGTGAAAGCGTATCGTTAGCATATCTTCAACGAATGGAATAAAGTTTATGCTATGGTCGATGTCCGCAGCAGTATTCTTCTTGGCCCGCCGCACCGGACGACGTCGTTTATTCGAAAGTCCCGCGAACTCCTGGGAAAAAAAGCCGTGATGAATATCCCAATCTGAGCGTCGATGACCGACCTACTCGTTGGCAGAGATGTGTTCGTGGAGCGGGGACTTCAGAGAGCACCATCCTCGGTGTGCGGGAGGGTGAGGCATAAGGTCCCGACAGTCATCCTGCGACCGAAACGGCGAGCCGAGTCACCCATTCTCAGAGCCGTGGTGCCGTATACGCTGACAGCAACAAGGATGGTGGGGGAGAGCACATTATTTTTAATGAGTACCGTGCTCCCTTACGACGACGGGGATGAGTGCATTGCTGGCCGGCTGCCGCACTGCCGGCGACGATTCTGGCTGCGGATCAGCGCCATAGGTCGCCACAGTCCGAGCAACAGACTTATCCCAGAGGATAAGATGAATCCTCGAGCTGCTTGTTTTCGTTGTCTGTGATTGTCTTGCATTGCTGTCACCGAGAAAGGCAGTTGCAGTCCAAGTTAATCAGAGCCTTCCGCAACTTCCCGCTCTCTCCGCCCCGGCTCGTAGTCGTCCGGGACCTGAGGGAGATGGGGCACTCGGACGATGCTGTTCCGGAATCCCTGAGGCTCAGCGACTCTCGCAGAATTCGTAATTTAAGACATTTCCAGATTCTCGCGACAAGCAGGACGCGCCACACTGTTTGCGATGTCATTCCTCGCGGCCGAAGGGTCGCATCCATTTCGACATTCGGTCCCGACTCCACAAGGTCAGAAGCGGCGAAAGAGGATCATGGATGACGCGAAGCTCTTCAGCGTCTACTTGTCGCTACCGACGAAGGTACAGAGATCAGAGCCCGTCGCTCTGAAACCGCGAGAGCCTTCCACACCATTTGCCCTGTATGCTTGCTCTTTGCGCCGCTCGGTGGTATTTGTATCCTCTTCGCTTTCTCGTGCAACTGCTCGAGGATTCCTTTGAAGCAGGAAGGGGGGGGGACGAAGGCAAGTTCCACTCTAACACTTATTCATGGCCGACCCGATTCTTTTGTTTCTGACGGATGCGGAGAAGGTAAATCGATGGGGATAGGTCGAGCCGCGGAGTGGATCGAACGCTCCCCGTTCCTTATCTGCCGCCTGGTGCGGCCGCAGCCATATTTTCATGCCTCTAAGGTGATGCCCGAGCGTCCATGGGTATCAGGAGAGAGAGAGAGAGAGAGGTAGGACGGCGGATATCAGCTCTTGAATGGACGGAGGAGCCTTATTCAAGACAATATTGGAGCCTTGATGAAAACTAAATCAGACGAAGAAGGACCGCTATCCCCTTCAGAACAGAGAGCTGTACCCAATGCGTCCCGCCGGGCTGTTACCCGGAGCCTCTGTCAAGTCCAGCACTGACGAGCATATCTCAGAGCTCGGATTCCACGCACTGATTCTCATCAAGGGACTCCGTTCTACAAGGAGCACTATTCATCGAGGTCGCGCGAAATTCCAAAGCCGGACGGGTCTCGGAGAAACAGGTTTATTCATTGATTCCAAAGACTCGAAAGGAGGCATGTACATGTTGTGTTGTCTAGTTGTTGGAACTAGGCAAAGGAATTTTACGATTGATTAGAATTTGACCAAGTCCCGCTTAATACGCAGAGTTTGAGGGTATTTTCGATTTCCACCGCGTCAAATCAACTCCGACAGTTACCCAGCTCACAGACAGGAACCTGCCTGTGTATGACCATGTCGGTGATCGCGGGACATCAAACAAAATTGTGCGCTCAAAAATTGTGTTTGAACTACTCTTCAGCTCGAACCCTCTCCGCTGCGATTGTGCCCGAAAATCAATTTTTCCTCGTCGTCTCGAGCTTCGTCAACGAATTTAATCTCGGATCCATTTCAGTCATCGGCGGAAATCCTAGAGGGAAGCGCGGACGGGGGACGGGTGGTACACGGGAATACGATGAGGACATCGAACGTTACGCGAAGCATCAAAAGAGAACAACGATTTCGCTCGCTCGAGCGATTAGCTCATCCGGCGGCGGATGTTCTTCTCGTACGCTTCAAAAGATTGCGAATGCTGAACACAATCTCTCGCGTGGATCCCGTCCTCTACTCGGAATAAAAACATCCTTCCACGACCGTTGACTGCACGGAGCTTCATCAGACCCGAAACGAGATTTCCCGCTCGACAGGGCCACGGTTCGCTTGTGAAAACTTCCGATGCGCCAAAAATTCCGACGGTAACTCCGCACACATATTCGGTCGGGACTCATCGTCGAACGAGAAGCGCCGTTCGTTTTGAAATTACAGGGCCCAGGTCGAGCGACACAAATCGTTCACAAAGGTTCCGAAACGCACAGAACGCACGGGTATATATTTGCCGTTTGTCTGCGGGCTCACCATACGCCCTAAATACACCCGTCATGGAGCGTCTGTCGTCGTCGTCGTCGCTGTCATACTCGTTGTCGTCAGTCCCGTCCTGTTCCCCGTAGTCTGCCGTCGAAGCTGACGTCGTCCCAGCCGCCGCATTGATTAAGTTGGACCTCTCGCACGAAGGAAAAGTCAATTGGCACTCCGTCCCCAGCCACCACCGCCTTCGTCACTGATTCCCACAGAAGAGGATCCTCACGTTCCGGGGGGAATTCTCCCTCTCACAATTCCACGCGGCTTTCATCGCTGCCATCGCTCGCTTGCTGCTGCTGCCGTCGATGGTGAAGAGGAACGACGGGCGGCGCGGCGCTCGCGTCAGAGCAGCAGCCCATGGAGGCCAAACAGGGGAGGGTAGGACGTTAGAGCGTCTGGATATTTATATTCAAATCTCACAGGCGACTTGCACGCGCTGGTGTTCTTCCTCGGCGGTCATATGGATATTTAGGCTCGACCCGAACGCGAAATCCACAATAGAAGACCGCGCCTGTAGCACGTTGCGAGAGCGTTATGCGCATTCGAATGGAGTGTCGCATTCTGTTCTAAATCCTAGTAGATTAAACTCCGCTGTTCAGGTAGCGGAGACCGTTTTTTTTTGTTCCGCGACGAGTCCACGATTTGTAGAAGCGCGCACGCGGGGACGACGTCATTTCTCGTGGGAGGTGCCCGTGAGCGGACCTCATGACGGTGTTCGACACAGAGTAACTTGCTCCACGGAGGCCCGAATGCGTCCGCTCCACCGTATCGTCGGGAGTCCTGGGTAGGAGGTATCGGAGATGCGAAAAAAAATTCTCCAATTGACTAGGATGCTCGGGAGCTGCTCGCCTCTGGAAACGTCGCAAGTTCCGGAGATCGGGTCCCTCTTTCCAACTCGAGCTAGTAAGAGATCGCTCTCTCTCCGATGGTCAGGCTCTTCCCGCTCCTTCATGTTCTCGACGATCCATGAATAAGAAAGGAGTGCAAGGTGGATAATCCTCAAACCCATCCCGATCAGGATCCTACGGGCTCGAACTTCTCTCGGAAAATAAGCTCGAGGCCCGCTCCCTACGTAAATCATGAAGTCACTGAAGTCCTCATGCCTGCCGCAGTGACCTCGCCCTCCTTCAACGTCTCTTCGGCCCTCCATCGAGCCGATATCCGAAGGATGTCGGACATCACTGCGAATATCACTCGGAGCAAGGAACGAGAAGCTCCGTGGCTCCGAGTTCACTGGTCTGCCGACCGAAGTGCGAAAACGCGTGATTCGTTGTGAGAGAACGAGGCCGAGAACGAAGAAGACTAAGAGGGAGCATTTCCTTTGGCAGACACCCATTACCCCTTTGTTTGTTTGCTCACTCGTTCGCCCACTGGTTCATCTGCCGAGCACACACACATTCGCCAACCAGGATCCAACAGAACCGCGTTCAGTGCTGCATAAAGCGCAAGATGCTCACTCGAGTCTCACCCGTCCTCTCGACCTCCTTCGCTCGATTTCTTTCCTTGCAACCCAAGCTCGCAGCTGTGTGAGGGCGCACATGACCAACGCACGTGTTCAGTCGGACATCTCCGAATGGGGGCCGCCGACCATCTTGCCCATGGCACCGAGCGGGAGAGGGCGGCGGTAGCCCCCCCCCCTCCCCCTACTAGAGCGGCGGAATCATAGCGAAAATTCGTCCGGAAGCCACGAGGAATACGGTGCGGAGCGTTTCGTCTCTTCCACCCCTTGTCGAAACAATTCCTGTGACATGAGCATAAAAACACTTTGCTAGCAATCAATGGAGAGATTCCCGTCGGTCTCGGCACGGGTCTTCTCGGGCCCATGCCTGGGGCGGGTGACCTGAACCCCAGGGAGGATAAATTCGTCGTAGGAAAAGGACATGGAAGTTCGAGGACGTTGG